CTCGAACAGCTGGACCATGTTTTATTCCCCTTTCAACATGGATATAAAGCTCTCCCTCCCAATCGCCCTCCCCTTCGGCAAATCAGACCACATCTCTCTGCTGCTGCTGGGCCGGCTTACAAGCAGAAACTTAAACGCATAGACCGGAACAAGGACTATACAGCGATGGAGTGAGGAGTCGGACTCTGCAGCACTTCACTGCTTCGAATCTACGGAGTGGAGTGTGTTTGAGGACAATAACATCAACACACACCACTGACACGGTCCATCTGCTACATTGGGAAATGCATCGATGACGTGGTACCGAAGGTTTCTGTACGGACATTCCCAAATCAAAGCCCTGGATAAACGGCGAGGTTCGTACCAGCTGTAAGCGCGCACAGAGCTGGAGATTTGGAGGAGTACAGGAATCTAGGTATGATCTACGGAGAGCAATCAGCAGCAAAGAGACAGTACAAAGAGAAGGTTGAGTCTGACTTCAAAGGCTGTAACACACCGGAACATGTGGGCGGGACTAAGAACAATGACAGACTACAAAGGAGCAGCGGGGGGGTGCTGCGGGAGTGTCTGCGTGCGCATCTCTCCCAGATGAGCTGAATAGCTTTTTTGCACGCTTTGAGAGCAGCCGGGCTGTGGAGGCACAGAGGGACCAGGAGCCAGAGCCCTGCCCTTTTGTTTTAAACAGGGCAGATGTGTGCAAATCCTTTAAAAGGGTTAACCCACACAAGGCTCCTGGACCTGATGGCAATCCCTGGCCGTGTTCTCAGGGTGTGTGCAGTTCAGCTGGCAGAGGTGTTCACAGACATCTTCAACAGGTCCCTGCTGCAGTCTGTTGTCCCCACATGCTTCAAACACTCCACTATCGTTCCTGTCCCCAAAAAAACAATAATCACCAGCCTCAATGACTACCGCCCAGTAGCACTCACCTCCACCGTAATGAAGTGCTTTGAGCGGTAGTCAAAACCTTCATCACCCTCCTCCGTCCCTGACTCTCTGGACCCCCTGCAGTTTGCCTACAGAGCAAACAGGTCCACAGACGACGCCATAGCCCTCACCATCCACACTGCCCTCTCACACCTGGACCCGAAGAACAGGAACACATATGTGAGAATGCTGTTCATTGATTACAGTTCAGCATTCAATACCATTGTGCCCTCCAAGCTGGTCATCAAGCTCAGAGACCTCGGGCTCAACAGCGCCCTCTGTGACTGGATCCTGAACTTCCTGACGGGCAGACCCCCGGCAGTGCGGGTGGGAAATATCACATCCTCCACCCTGATCCTCAACACCGGTGCCCCTCAAGGCTGTGTGCTCAGCCCTCTCCTCTACTCCCTGTTCACACACGACTGCGTGGCCACACACAGCTCCAACACCATCGTGAAGTTTGCTGACGACACGACCGTCATCGGCCAGATCACAGACGGCGACGAGACGGCGTACAGAGAGGAGGTCGAAAACCTGACATCTTGGTGCCAGGATAACAACCTCCATCTCAACGTCAGCAAAACATAGGAGCTGATCGTGGATTACAGGAAGCAGCTGGGAGAGGGACACGCCCCCATCACCATCAATGGGACTACGGTGGAGAGAGTCAGCAGCTTCAGGTTCCTCGGTGTCCACATCACTGAGGACCTGACATGGTCTCTTCACACCACCACCATCACCAAGAAAGCTCGACAGCGGCTCTTCTTCCTCCGCAGGCTGAGGAGGTTCAAAATGGATTCCAGGATACTCTGCAACTTCTACAGGTGCACCATAGAGAGCATCCTGACCTTCTACAGGTGCTCCATAGAGAGGATCCTGACTGGCTGCATCACGGCCTGGTACGGCAGCTGCACCGCCCTTACTCGTAAGGCTTTACAGAGGTGAAAACGGCAGAGAACATCACCAGGACGGAGCTGCCATCCATGGAGGACCTTTACTTCCAGCGGCTCAGGAAGAAATCCCTCAGGATTATCAAAGACCCCCATCACCCCAGCAACAAACTGCTCAGTCTGCTGCCGTCTAGCAGACGTTACCGCAGCATCCCGACAAAAACAACCAGATTCAGAGACAGCTTCGTCCCGCAGGCAGTGACACTGTTAAACAACTTAACTGCTGAAACAATTTCATAACATTAATCTGCTACTTAGTAATTATTTATCTATTATCTAATATATCATTCCAATAACTTGTATATAGACTCGTATTGCACTATTCCACTTTTTCTTTCGCTCACTTTTTTTTTTAAAACCATTTTTCTTTTTGTATTACCTTTATATAGTATATTTTAATATTGGTTAATATTGTCTGCTTATCTGTATTGTTGTGTTGCATTGTTGGAGAAGCCTGTGACCTAAGATTTTCAACGACATAATTACTCTGTAGCTATGTTAGTTTGACAATAAAGAACCTTGAACCTTGAACTTTGAACATTGAGTCTCACTTGTTCGTCTGTCAAGTTCAACTCTTCCTTGAAGTTGTAGGCTTTGGCTGAGTTGAGGGACGATGGCCTTCCGAATCTCCTCTCCGTCAACCACGATCCTGTTGTTTGGAAATGCAGCAGAATTCATTTTTTAAACAAACACAAAAAATGCTTGGATTAAACTATAACAATGAATTGTGTATTACCTGTCGTAGGTGTGGTTGTTACTAGTCGTGGTGTTCACATCATCGTCTATCAGCCAAAGATAATGATCGGGGGGGGATACTGAGCGTGTTCTTCTGCTCCATGGAGAGATCGGCATTAAAGTCCTCCCAAAATCATAATGTTCTGCAGAAGAAACACAACCAAATTAAGAATGGAAAATCACATTATGTTAATTAGTTAAAACTCAAACGGACTATAAACTTTAACCTGTTAAGCCCTGAGCCTGTTTTTCAGGTCTCAGGCTCGAAAATGACATTCCCAGAACAAATGACCATATCTTCCCTTCTAAAAGGGTTAAATTAATAATCTTTTTTCTCAAAGTAATAATAAACCTGTGAGTTGGATGTAGAAAAGTCAGAATCAATATAGATGTTTTTTATTTTAAAGAAAATTCAGATTTTTATTTTTGTAAAAAACTGTAAATTATAGTGTCCGTCCAACAATTATTTTGTACTTATAGTGAAAACTACCCTTGGATGATGGGTTAGTAGACTAAAAGCTTTAGGAATCCAAAGTACAACATATAATAAGTACCCTGTATCAAGATTGATGCAAAACAAGTGACATTTGACCTTTTTAGAGAGGTTTAGCCAAAAACACTCCACCTCTGAGGTGATTTGGGTGGAAATGTTTTTTTTTCCATATCTCTGGAACCCATTGGTCGATTTTGATGGTTGACACCCTCTTTCTGACCGTTAGAGCCAATAGAATCAAAGGCGGAGTCCCCCACACACACTCAATGTGAAACAAAAAGGTGGGGGCTTTGCGCATGTAATTTTGCATTAGAGTGAAGCTACACTCTAGCTCTGACATCTAGAAACGGAAAAGCATGGATTATCCGTCTCATTGCTCATGGATTATCAGAATCATTTCAAAGGGACACAGACACATTGGATTAACCTATGGATTAACTTCAGCAGCGTTTTTATCGTTTTAATGCCATTGAAGACCACTTTGGAGAGACTACAGAGCCAAGGTAACCTTGTTAGCATTTTTAGCTACCTAGCGTCAAATGTGTTGATGTCTGTTTTTGCTTATAACGTCGCAATTTCGTATAATTCAGTTATAATGAGGGTACCCCTCGATTCTGTGTCACCTCACGATGTGAAATGATGTCATGGATGTGGAGAAAAGATAAATAATAAGGTTTTGTGAGTGATTTTCTGTGCAGTAATCTGTTAGCATTTTTCGCTCGTTGCTAATTCAGAGGCTCAGTGTTAGCATTGTGGGTTTTCTTTTGAAAAAAAAAAAAAAAAAGATCAGTTAGATGAGTTTCTTCCCGTTACATGGATATAAAACATTCATAGTTTATTAATTGAACATGCCCTCAGACACTGTTTCCTGCAAGATGTTGCGGCAGTGCCCCGGTACCGGGGTCTCTCTGGCTTAACAGGTTAAAGGTGGGGTAGGTAAGTTTGAGAAACCGGCTCGAGATCGCTAGAATTTGAAAATACACAACCGGAGAAAATCTGCCACTTCCTTATAGAGCCCCTCCTCCAACACACATGAACGCGCACATGACCAATGAGGGCACGAGATAAGTTTGTGCACAGATGGAAAGCTGACAGGCAGGTAGGCCATCCAATTATTTTAGCCGGGCCAGCTAAAATGATTGGTCGTGCTTTTTACAGTACTACGGCTTCCACAGATGAATTTATTTTATGGATTTTTTGTCAAAGCACTTAAGATATTCATTGCTATCGGGATGTTAAGAGCATTCCATGGACTATAACAAAAAGTGTATCTCGAGCATGGGCGTAGGAAGCATCCTGAATGTGGGGGGGACATTTGTAACGGGGGGTGTGGGGGCGAAAAAAAAATATAGATTTCCTGTATTCTGGTGCATTTTAACAGGTGGTTTGATACTTTTATGTGGCTATACTAGCATGAGGAAAATGATGGGTACATTTTGTAATTTCATCCAGTAGTAAAGAAAGGAAACATATTTGATTATTAATTCAGAGCTGTCTTTGAATTAATAAAAAGCAGTTTAAATGCCCATTTTTGTACATTTATATACAACAATAAATATTTGTGAGTGCATTGAGAGATATTGTTGTGGAGCGTCATTTATATATAAATCGCAAAATACATTTGTGAATCCTTCTGTGAGCATTTATTAATATTGAGAATGATCTGACTCCATACAGATGTTAAGTTCACCTAGGAATGGTATCATTGACTTAAATGTTCAAATAAATGTTGCTCTTCTGTCTATATTGGTCATATGATGCCCCTTGACTGAAATGTTTCCTGTTCAAGATCCCCACTGATTTCCTTAAAATCCTGGGATGAGAGTCCACATCACAATTTACTCTCAACTGTCATTTCCCTTTCATCACTCACCTCAGCAATGGACCTCTCTCCACTGTCCCTGTATTCTGCCTCTGACTCACTCTCAAGTGCCTAGATGTCAAGAGAGGTGGTGAAGTGATCATTATTTATTGAGCAGTATACTCTTTCACATTGAATCATAACAAGTCATACTGAATGTAAATACAACTGACTCTAAAGTAAGTCCCAGTCTGTGACATTGGACATTTTGAAGACTCAAAGTCCCAAGCAGTAGGTAGAATATTAGCTAGTCTATGTCATGTGCATAGCAAATAAATAGTTAACTGAATACTGGGATGGAAATAGCCTATAAGCACTCAGTAAAACATAAACACACACAAAAAGCTTCTGAATGATAAGTATAATTAAAACATAATGCACATTACCATTTTGAGAGAGAGTACCTAAGTTAAAGAACTCAGAAAAGAATCTCTTAACGAACTGAGGCTCCAGTAAAACACACTGACTGCGTCTCTACATGGACATCAGTAAGCCGTTTATGAGTATTATCCCGGTTATGATCATTTTGGGGATATGGTGTTTACATGAGCACAGAGAGATCGGGTTATTCATGTTCCCTGTTTACATGATAAATACTAGTAACCTGGCATTTCGATGCCTTTTCTCATCTAAACTATTCAGTATTTGTATCTCTCTATCATGACATAAAGACGAAACTCCTCTCCAGAAGTGAGACGCCGCCATCACTGTTAACTGATTAACTGCTACCAGCTGATGACTTACTTTCCTCTTCGTTGAAAAAAATGTTCTTATGTCCATGTTTTCTGGGGGAGAAAACATATCAAACCAAGAGATCGTCAGCTTTGATTTTCGCTGTATTAACCATTTCCTGAACATTTGGTGTGTGTGCCTTACCTCCGCTACCGGCAATCGCTTCATACAACAGATCTGAGCTGTCCAACTATGATAACACTCCTTGAACATGCGCGCGCTATGTGAGAATCTGCCTTGGTACAAAGTAGCAGTGAAAACATGGTACGGAGTTTCATTGATTTGGGCATTCTCTCAATAAGCAAGTGGAATGGATTTCATTTGATAGTGAAGCACTGACACAGCGCTCTACAAAGTGCGGCGAGTGGATAGACCGATTCACGGACTTTCCGCATAGTAAAAGTGGGGGGGGTCTAAACTAATCATTTGAAAAAGTGGGGGGGACTTGTCCCACCCTAATATAATGGCTGCGACGCCCATGATCTCGAGCCGGTTTCTCAAACTTACCTACCCCACCTTTAAATGTAAATATTTTTCACATATTATTTTTCTCTCAAACCCATCAATAATATTTTAAACACTTACATCCTTGTTCCACATTTCCCTCACATCTTTAACCTCATCATGAAGAGCATTCAGCTCCGCCTCTGCGTTACTTGGTTCGATGTGGACCGGGATCAACACCAGATTCTGCACAACTGGAGGCAAACAAACAAACAAACACACACACACACAAACACACACACACACACACACACACACACACACACACACACACACGCCGTTATCGAAACCTAAGTCTAATTTAAAAAAAAGTATTTATCTTTAAACATTCCATTTATATCTTTCCTAAAGTTAGGACCTCACAATATAAAAGGTCCTCACAACTTAGGTTGCCTTCACACCAAATAGTCCGCTTCTCTGATAAAGTCAAAGTCAACTTTATTGTCAATCTTCCAGTTTGTGTGTACAGACAGAGAGATCGAAATACCGTTTATCAATACACAATCAATGACACATGTACATGTGCACACATTAAGACCTAAATAAAAACACAACAATCAATATATACAAAATAACAGTCACTTCAATATTTTGAGAATGTGCGTTAGTGTAAGACTGGTGCTCACCAGACGACAGTTTGTTGCATTATTTCATTTTTCAGAAGGTTTGCGTTGCGTTCACACGGACAAAACTCAAACGGACAATAAACTTTAACCTGTTAAGCCCTGAACCTGTTTTTCAGGTCTCAGGCTCGAAAATGACATTCCCAGAACAAATGACCATATCTTCCCTTCTAAAAGGGTTACATTAATAATCTTTTTTCTCAAAGTAATGATAAACCTGTGAGTTGGATGTAGAAAAGTCAGAATTAATATAGATGTTTTTTATTTTAAAGAAAATTCAGATTTTACATAGTAAAAAACTGTAAATTATAGTGTCCGTCCGAAAATTCTTTTTTACTTATAGTGAAAACCACCCTTGGATGATGGGTTAGTAGACTAAAAGCTTTAGGAATCCAAAGTACAACATATAATAAGTACCCTGTATCAAGATTGATGCAAAAAAAAAGTGACATTTGACCTTTTTAGAGAGATTTAGCAAAAAGAAACCACTTCTGGGGTCATTTGGGTGGATTTTCCATATCTCTGGCCCCCCTTGCTCGATTTTGATGGTTGACACCTCTTTCTGACCGTTAGAGCCAATAGAATCGAAGGAGGAGTCCCTCACACACACACGTTGTGAAGAGAAAAGGTGGGGGCTTCGTGCATGTCATTTTCAATCAGAGTGAACCGATCTCTAACTTTGACATCTGGAAACGGAAAAGCAGTTTTAATGCTTATGGATTATCAGAAATCATTTCAAAGGGACACAGACACATTAGATTAACCTATGGATTAACTTCAGCAGCGTTTTTATCGTTTTAATGCCATTGAAGACCACTTTGGAGAGACTACAGAGCCAAGGTAAAAATGTTAGCATTTTTAGCTACCTAGCGTCACCTGTTTTGATGTCTGTTTTTGCTTATAACGTCACAAATACGTATAATTCAGTGGTAATGTCGGTGTCAATAGATTCTGTGTCACCTCACGATGTGAATCGATGTGTTGGATGTGGTGAAAAGATAAATAATAAGGTTTCGTGAGTGATTTTCGGTGCAGTAAGGTGTTAGCATTTTTCGCTCGTTGCTAATTCAGAGGCTCAGTGTTAGCATTGTGGGATTTCTTTTGAAAAAAAAAAAAAAGATCAGTTAGATGAGTTTCTTCCCGTTACATGGATATAAAACATTCATAGTTTTATTAAATGAACATGCCCTCAGACACTGTTTCCTGCAAGATGTTGCGGCAGTGCCCCGGTACCGGGGTCTCTCGGGCTTAACAGGTTAACACTTCATTCTGCTTTACTCTTTCACTAAGGATTTTGAAGACATCCGCGTTCTTGTGACTCGTAAATACTACGCTTCCTATGTTTTGATGCAGACTGCGTTCACACCAGAGATGAACCGCTCCAGAGGTCACTAGCAAGCGGTCTGAGACCACCTCTTTTAGGTTGTTTAGTTCACAGGTCTCAGACTGTGTTCATACCGACCCAAACAAACCGCACCAAGGGGGTAGACGCACCAGGGTTCGATTCCACCAGACTAAATAAAGCTGCTGTTAATGCGACCTAAAACTACAAGTGGTCCTCACAATGATAGCCGTGCAAGACATATGCAAACACACATAAACACACCTTTGAGGACCTACATAAAAAAAACACTCTTGCCTAATCTTTAACCCCTATTTTAACTAAAGAAGTGCTTTAACATTCAAACAGTCCATTGAAGGTCTGTACCAAAATAGAGAACAGGCCAAAATGTCCTCATAATCCATAAAGGACACAAAACCCTAATTGCTCCACACACACAAACACACACACACACACACACACACACACACACACACACACACACACACACACACACACACACACACACACACACACACACACACACACACACACACACACACACACACACATACCTGTGTTTCGACAATTGAGAAGGACAATGAAAGGCTGTATGGTGATCACAGCATTTACTACTCCCTTCTGGTAGGATTTTATTATCTCCACTTCTTTCTTTCTGAAACACAAAGCCACAAACATATACTGTATTATAAAGCTCATAAACACACATGCTATGTTTTGTTTGTTTATTAATGTATTTTTGTTAGATAGTGAGATATCTCATAAATCACTTGAAGTTTTTCAGTAAAGCCTTGTTGGAAATGTTTGTAGAGTTTGGCCCAACGGCACAATGTGTTGATTTGTAAAGCCTATGATGTTCTGGGTCTTAGCTACCAAACCATAGACATAAAATAAATTGTAGGAATTAAAAGATTGAAGTCAAGCGTCTCAAAGAAGAGTAATGTAATGTGTCACAGATTACTGGTTCAAAAATAAACATTACTGTTTTTTTTGTCTTTAATATTCCACACAGTTTTTCAATAATAATTATCCAATTGAATGTGGGTGTTACCAATTTAAGACATATTTTAATTCTTGTGAGACATAACGTATAGCTCAATTGGTAGATTGATGTGTACTGAGGCTTGGTCTGAATCCAGTTCAAAGACCATTTGCCGTGTGTCATCACTCTCCATTTCAGGTCTGTCTCTACAATGAAGGCACTGGTTGCCCCAAAAGGTAACCACACACAGGATTGTCTGTACTTGTGTTTCTGACCTGTAGAAGTAGACAAACTTCTCCCTGCTACCCTCCGGTCCCAGAGGTTCACTGCACAGAATGCCGTACGGATTACTTCTGTTATCTCTGCCAGAAAACAGAAACAACTGGAACTGAACATCTCTCACAATCATCAATCATTTGTTTGTATCATTTTAGATGCCCCATAAGATTTAATTACCAACACTTGTTTTTAGGCAAAAGTGAAAAGAGGTGCTGCAGCACAGGCAGTATGAGATAAATAAAGAGCTTTCTGAACATTAAAGCATGTAAACATGTCACAAGACACTAAATACACATTTTGAACCTGAACCTGCAGAATAGGGCCCCTTTAAATGAATGTGCATGCTTCTATGTGTGGAGAACTCACCCATATGCATTAAGGTGTTGGAGGAGCAGTTTCATGGGATCACCACCTGTCTCATCCATCACCTCCAGCAGCACCACCACGCTGTACTGAGACATGATCTGCAAAACACAACCACAGAGAAAAGAAAGCATAGAACTAAAAGCACTTTTAACATGTTATAAATGTTTTCAATGCATAAAAAACAGCTCCTTTCCTTTAATTTTCTCGCCATGTACAAAAACATTAACTGAAATATTACACTGAACAAACTTGTGTGGTTCAGCACGGTGAGTTACCTTAATGATAATTTCCCGTACGGCCTTTTTGTTGACTTTTTCCCATCCCAGTCTCTTCACATTGAAGGCAGCGATCTTCATTTTGACTAAAAATGTAAATCAAATGAATTTCATAGATTTAAACCGATACACCCAACATATTATCAAGGCCAGTGGTGAACAGTAACTAAGAACATTTACTAAAGTGCTGTACTCAATTACAAGGTACTTAACGAGAGTATACTGTATGTCCAATTAAAGAAACTCTATTATTTTACTCTTCATCCAATACCTGCCACATTTCCTTACTTTTTCTCTATTGGGTTTCCATTTATGGGAGAAATAATCTCTGTCGCTAACAAATGTTTATGATACTTACATGTTTGGTTCAGCATAATCTGCACATATTAACACCACTTTATGATTTTTGAAGCGTAAATGCAATTGCCAGAAGTAAAAAGGATATCAAAGTCAACTTTATTATCAATCTTTCAGTTTGTGTGTACACATGCTTTGAAGCACTACAGTATCCTGTTGAAGGAACTGATAATATAATACACAAGGGAAAACAAGGTGAATTTAACCATCCTAACGACAACGGCCAAGACACACATTGAGAAAAGAAAACAAATGTTATTAAGGGCTGTAAATATAATAAGCCTACGTCTAAAATCGACAACATTGTTAGGAGATTTAACCGCTTGAGGCCTGGGCCCTAACCCTCGAAAATGACATGCCCAGAAGGAATGAGTATATCTTCACTTCTAAAAGGGGAATATGAATAACCTTTTTTATCAAAGCAATGATACACCTGTGAGTTGGCTGTAGAAGTGTCAGAATCAATTTAGATGTTGCTGTGTCAGAGTAAATTCAGACTTCACACTTTTCCCCATTGTCTAACATTGGGAAAGAGACGTCTGTAAATCAGCAGCACATTTTTTTAAACTAAATAAACTACCCAGTATTAACTATTGTATAGAGTCAATAGGTCCTTAACGTTGTAAAATGCGCTATCTATCTATCTATCTATCTATCTATCTATCTATCTATCTATCTATCTATCTATCTATCTATCTATCTATCTATCTATCTATCTATCTATCTAGCATCTCCTCTGATATAAAGTGTTAGATCAGCATGTTTTATCCATAAACTGTATTATCCCCGACAGGGGCGGTTCTACGGGGGGGTTTGCGATTCAGATGAGGCCCCCTCCGCGAGGTGGTGAGGCCCACGCAGTCTGCGTGATCTGCGTGTAGGGAGGGCCTACCTACACCCACACATGCAAATAAACCAGTTCAACAAGTCACACAATGCTGTCTGGCGAAAACAAATAGGCTAATTATCATACTAAAAGGGATTCATCCAAGTGTCCCAACACATTTCAGAAAGAACTGTTTCTGTCAGAACCAGAGAAGAGTTAAATGTATTTTTGTAACTAATTAACTGATAAGATACAAGTAGAGTTTAAAATATTGCTACAGATATAATTTCACATACTTTTATCAGAAATAATGTATTAATTTATTCAATTCTGGTCTTATTTCAAAATCTTACACATTTGAAACTTAGTTATAGTGAATTATCAAAGACATTATATTTCTATTAGTGTTTTATTTCCACAAGCGAACATATAAGAAGGGCGGGGTCCATGACAGGTGCTCATGCTATTTTGACTACCACACTGACCCAGTGTTGTAATATTGCAACAAAATCAAATTTGATGAATGTATTCCACAAAAACTAAATATGTACATGTTCTTAACATCGTAATAATCACAAAAAAAAACATTTGAGGCATTTTACTTACTTGAATCTGACAAATCCAATCCAATAAAACAAAGAGATATCGCTCGATTGAAGATGCGGAAGTTGTGTGAGTGTATGGCCAGAGGGCAGGACCTATACACACCTTTAATATCCAATAGCATTGTGAGGCTGAACAAAAGCGGTTCCCAACCTTATTTTGTACAGGCTAAAGACACAAACATGGACATGACAATAACATATAGGAGATGACATTCCAATCTCAGACACAAACAAAACAAAAACAGAAGAAATAAAGATACAGTCAGTAGGATCACTTCAACATTTCACAAACAAAAATAGGTCGACAACCAAAAACCACCAAAAACACAACATGGCAGCATATTTATTGTTGCTTTGATCCCACTCTTCGTTAGAGCTAATTATTTCCCCTTTCATGGCGTGTTGAGCCACCACTAATCTACTCTTCAAACACCTTAAATTAAGATTACTCCTTGATTGACTTTTAATAATATGTATTTTAGCCAGAAGAATAGTTGTATTTATTAGTGTCTGTTCCTCTCTCTGGACTGTATGCTGCTGACAGTTTGCTGAACGTTAAGTTAGCGGTGGCAGAGAGTTCCTCATCATTACATTACATTGCATTTAGCTGACGCTTTTATCCACAGCGACTTACAATAAGTGCATTCGACCAAGAAGGTACAAACTTGAAGAAAACAGAAACATATAAGTACATCAGGTTTCATAGAGCCAAAACATTTCAAGTGCTACTCAACTGGCTTTAGATAAGCCAGTCATTTGTTAGTATATAAGTGCTCTGTTTCTTTGTTAGTAATTCTATCGCTCGAAGTGGAGTCGAAAGAGATGAGTTTTCAGTCTGCGCCGGAAGATGTGTAAGCTTTCTGCTGTCCTGATTTCAATGGGGAGCTCATTCCACCATTTTGGAGCCAGGATAGCAAACCAACGTGTTTTTGCTGATGGGAACTTGGGTCCCCCTCGCAGTGCGGGTGCAGCGAGCCGTTTGGCTGATGCAGAGCGGAGTGCACGTGCTGGGGTGTACAGTGTAACCATGTCCTGGATGTAGGAAGGGCCAGATCCATTCACAGCATGGTACGCTAGTACCAGTGTCTTGAAGTGGATTCTAGCAGTTACTGGAAGCCAGTGAAGTGATCACAGAGAGTTCCTCATCACATGACAGAGAGTTCCTCATCACATGACAGAGAGTTCCTCATCACATGACAGAGAGTTCCTCATCACATGACGTCAACACAGGACAGGTATTGTTCGCATGTAAATAAGCTTGTATTCAACACGTTACTTTACATATATATATTTGTTTATGTAAAGTAACAGCAGTGCAGTGAACTTCAACACGGAATCCGAGGTACGAAGACCCTTTTTTCATACTGTACAAAGAATCAAGAAACGTTTGGTTTTAATAGATGAAGTAATGACTATAATTAATTATGAAGGTAGATATGGTGCAAAATGCGAGAGCATGTAAAACCTGATGTGAGCACTTGCAGAAAACAAATCTGAGCTTGTGTGCATACATTTACACTTGTATAAAATATCCATGTATCTGTGAACCACATTTGAAGTCACAGAAGAAAAAAAAAAAGTTTTGTGGCTTGTAGAAAAAAAATGAACTTACTGTAGTGAAGAAATGTTCACTTGCAGAAAAATGTATATTTTTAAAATATATTTTCCATTACAACTGCAACTTGGTTATTACAACCTCTCAAATCAGTCCCTTGAGCTTAGATCAAAATAAGAAGGAAATAAAATAAAGACATTTGTAGGACTATTTATATTTTGTTGCACGTTTGAAAATGTTTCGTATCTTGTATTTTGAGGTGATACTGTGACACATAAATAAATAAAAACAACGTTTTAATTAGGTCAACTCAAATATGCATTGCATCCTGCTACGGTCCCGCACCAGCGCCTTTTCTTGCAGGTGACCTGACCCCCGGCTCGATGAGGGAACTATGGAACTATGGATAAATCAAAGAAAATAAAAGTATTGGAGGAACACAGAGGGTTTAATTATGCGTGGAGAGAGTTATCTGCTTTCACAGCAAACAATGCTGGCTTACCGGTATGTTTGATATGTGGAGAGAAGTTGTCAAAGGTGCTTCAGCCTTTACGTATGGGAGGAAAAACACGGAAGAGGAAGACAGCTGACGATCTTCAGCCATAATTCAATCACCTAACTCTTTTTAGGATACAGCTATATCTTTTATTTATTTCAAAGTGGGCCCATTTTAATTATATTCATTTTCTTCAAATGTGCAGAGGACTCCCCAAGTGCTGTGTTAATTTATTTTAAAGTAGGCCTGTGTATTTTTTTTTATTCTCCTTATAAGAGTTCTTTGTTTATTATCAAGGTAAATGATAAATTGAGGTAAACAGTTTTCTATAATGTAATAAATAATAAATGCAAAAAAACTGTCATTTTTGTCTATGATATAACAATATATACAACTTTTTAAGCTATCAAATATGTTTTGCGGCTCCAAACAAAAAACATTGGTGGAAAAGGGGGCAAAATGGCTCTTGGTCAAAAAGGTTGCAGACCCCTGGTCTAGAAGCAAGAACCGCATACGTCACGCTTACATCGGAGGGGGGCGAGATTAACCTGAGCTAACAGTTTATGGAGAGTATGGCAAATAAAAGTTGTAACCAGCAGTAGCTGCTGAGCAAAGTGACTAGAACGCAACCACACACTTATAAAAAAAACACACTTTATAAAGTCAGGCAACACTAACCAGGCTTCGTGTGATTCTGTTTATTTGTACCTTACTTTGACCATCCGTTCGCTGTTATTGATCATTGTGGAGAGCAGGCAGACGTTTTGTTTGTTATTATAGCAGCTATCGGATGGAATCAATACATGGGCTGCACAGGTTGTCATGTCCGACTATCACAAGTAGAATCATAATGAAAAATACGCCGGTAAAATGTGCCTGTAGAAAACGGCTTATGCCACAATAGGATAGCAACAAGTAGTCAATATAGTCAGTTTAGCTTCGGTTGCTATGCTAACATCACCCATTTTAAACCAGAGAAACTTTCATAACAGCGTTGTGATGCCAAACAGCGTCAATTCAGACTGACACACATTCACTTAAGGGGAACTGGGGATATGTATCAGCTGCTTGTGTGACAGTCAGACAGTGAATACTTGACAGCGGCCGCTGTCGTGAGTTAATAAACTCCAGTGGACGTGCAGCACTGCAGCGGTCGGTACATGCCGCTGTAACACATTAATAAACAATGAACCACAGCACTCTGGAGAAAAGTATAAGGTTGGAGAAGTCGTTATTTAATTTAATCT